CTGTTATTAACCTCTGTCTCTCTTCCACAGCATGTCTTTATCCTGTCTTCCTTCTCTCACTGCAAACGGTCGCAGCAGATGGCCCCGCCCCTCCCTGAGCCTGGTTCTGCCGGGGGTTTCTTCCTGTTAAAAGGGAGTTTTTCCTTCCCACTGTCGCCAAAGTGCTTGCACATAGGGAGTCATATAATTGTTGGGTTTTTCTCTGTACCTATGAAGCGCCTTGAGGCGACTTTTGTTGTGATTTGGCGCTATATAAATAAAATTGAATTGAATTGAATTGAATTGAATTGAATTGAATTGATATACAGCATGTCATGTATGAACAAGTACTTGAGAGTTCTTTTTTATTAATGTACCTCAGTGTGTAGCATTGCGGTTTATGGGACCGCAAAAACAGAAGTGTGAAGTCCTAAATGAAGGAGTTTGTTTTTTTGTGGTGTAGTGTTGGAACATAACAACTGACCTATTGGTGGGAAATATTGTGGAGGTATTTTGAAAGAAGGACTCATACCTGTTAGTTTTACCATTTTACTATTACAGGCTAGGTGTATAGGAAGCAATGGGGAAAATGTTTTCTTGTTTTGAGTGGGGACAGCACCCAGTAGCCCACATACTACTTTTTCTTTTTCATGTTGTATGTGTAGGTGTGTCTGTATGTGTGTGTTTGCTCTCAATTGAAATAAGGTTGGAGAAAGTTTGTGACATTTAAATAATCCAGGAGAACACAGACTGGTTGGTTGGGGATGTCCCATGGAACATGAAACCAAAAACAGAAATGGAAATAGACCCTCTCGCTCTCATCTCTTACTGCTGTCTTCACAAAAGGCAACTTTCACTACTGTTTTCATGCTGAGTCTCATCCTCATAAGTGGATTTCCACTTCAAATGCTGCTATATTATTCTATCAAAACAACATCTTATCCTTACAAAAATTGTGGTTTGATTTGGACTTTTTCTTTAGCAAAACAGAATCTTTCCAAAACCAAGTCTGAGCGAGCACAAACATGACAGTTTGTCACAAGAAGCCATACTTTGCTGCAAAGCAAGTGAGGAATGTTCTCAGTGAGCCAGTTTGTATACTTCAGAATATTTGCTCATCATGGTAATAGAAACTTATCAAATTCAAACACATATTGGCTGAAACATCAGAGCACATGAACAGAAACTACCGACCCTCATTTATGGCCACAAGCTGTGGTAAGACTAAGATCACTGACACAAGCAGTGCAAAGGAAAGTCTTTCCACAAGCGTCTGAGCTCAGCCTTAGAGAGAGTAATATAAAAAGGGGAAATTATAAAACTTCAAAAAGATTGAAAAACTACACACAAAAACCAATCTGTACAGGCAGATTTTTAATAACTTTCAAGTCGGGGAACTCACTGAAAAGAGTGGAGTCTCCCTAAAAACTCTGACATAAAATAATAATAATAATCATTTAAAATACTCTTACATTGGGGATTGTAATGGAAGCCTCATTTTGCTATGTAGGGCTTAGGTCTTAATACAACTCAAAAACGCATGTTATATAACTATGCACCACTTAGAGAAAGATGAGGATTGGTCTTTAGAGAGGCCTCAGAGAGCTCTGGTTGAGTTAGTTTGAGCATCTGACTAAGTTTCTCCTTTGCTGCCTTTTAGGTGTCAAACTATGAGGCGACCTTGGGAAGGACCCAGAGATGAGCAGTTCTGCCTCTTGGTTGGCTTGGTTGGTGCCACTGGTGCCTTCCTCAAACGAGCTGGAGAAGCATATGATGGAAAGGGAGAAAAATCTGCATCAGACAGGGATGCATTGAAAGGTCCCTCCCTGGTCGGATGCAAATCAACACGTATTCCAAAGAAGGACTTCAGCAGCCTGAGGTAGTCAGTCATTTAAGTACCCATCTGCTGCAAAGAAACAGTGCAGGAGTGCGACTCTACCTTTGGGTGGTACTTATTTGATTTCTCTTGGGATAGTTTTATGAAACAGTTTATGCCTGCCTTGGAAAACATCCACAGGTTTCAGTGCAAGAAATAATACCAAACTGACAGTGACCTGCATGCAATTTTTAAATATCCTAAAATTGAGGCAGCTAAATGTAAAGAGCAAAATGAGAAACCTTGGATGAATTTTGAAAACATCATTGGGCCTCCAAAAAGGAACCCAGACTTTGGTTAAGCTGCAGAAGAAGAAGTAATGTTGTGTGAGACACTAGATGAGCAACAATAATAGATTAAAAAAACAACAACTTTACAGCCCAATAAAATGAGTTGTTGGGCTGGACCAGAAAACTATACTATCATTATCTATAAATAACACATCTTAATGTTCTCTCAGTTTTCTTTTAGTGTACAGAAGCACAGTTTGGAGAAAAAAACATCATGAGTCATCTTCATGTCTCAGTTTTTCCACAGCCTGTGCCAATCTACAGCGATGAATGAAAGCAAACAAGTGGCACAGATTCTTGACTAAAGCTAGTGTCATCTCACCGCTTTCTTATGTTTGTTCATAAGTAAACTGCAAAAATGAGAAAAGATTAAAAAAACAAACATGCTTTCACTTATTTCCTGTTATGTGTATACTATTACAAATATATACTTACAATAAAAATGAGCTGTTTTATTTAAGAAAAACTGACATATTCCAGGTAATGAAGTCTGAATATTTCTTTTTTTTAATTTAACCTTTATTTATACAGGTAGTCCCACTGAGACTCATGGTCTCACTTAAAAGAGAGACCTGTTTCAGACAAACATATTATAATTGTTAAAAAAAAAAAACAATAAAATAACTATCTAATGTTTACACCCATCATATCAAAAACAAGGACAAGTTCAGGTCATTTGTCTTTTAATGTCTGCAAGAGAAATCTTAATACCCCGGGATAAACAGAGTCCAACAGAGGGAGAGAATGAGCAGGGTTTTCATGGAAATGATATCACTGTGATCAAGTAGGGGTAAAACGATGTTAGCAACAAGCTTTTTCCTTGCAGTGAAAGAGAAACACAATCAGTTTTGGAAAATGAACTCCAACGTCAGCCTCTTTAACCTGCTAAAGTTTCTTTAACTGGTAGTCAATATGTGGCTTAAAGATTATTATCAATCACAATACCCAAGTACTTCCGCCACCCTCCTATTTAAATAAGGAGCAACATGACCTTGTTTTTTGTGCATTTAAAATTAGTCTGAGCTGACACAGCTGTGACTGTTACTATCAAAGCTCGCTGTGTGAGCACAACAATAAATGATTGTATCATATGCGTAAAAAATTAATGGGTGGATTTACATTTTATCCCAAGTCATTAGCATAAATAGTGGCACTCCATTAGTTGCATTTAAAAAACTAGAAAAGAGACCATAGAACTGCACATGGTACTGGTCTATGGCATTGGTCTATGGTACTGGTCTATGGCATTGGTCTATGGTACTGGTCTATGGCATTGGTCTATGGTACTGGTCTATGG